ATTTATAGGCCCACCTAAAACAATCCTCACCCCAGTTAATCACTTTGGATTAGCATTCTCAAAGTTAGTGATATCTTCAATTATTGGTGAAGTTCAATGAGCCTAAATTTGTTTGTTGGTGGGAGAAATATTGAAGATAGTGTTCTAATTGTATATGAAGTAGTGAATTCCGAGAGGGCTAATTCAAAGGAGGGTATTGTGCTAAAGTTAGATTTTGAAAACTTATGATTATCTTAATTGGAACTTTGTTTTCTAAGATAAAAGAGAATTGGCTTTACTGATAAATGGATCAACTGGATGGAGGAGTGTGTGTCCTTGGAAACTGTTTTTCTTCCTTTTTCTGTAAGCTAAGCACTTGGGTCTTGTTAGAGTAGTTGGGTCAGAATGGGATGAGTTAGATGAACTTGCAATTTTTGATCATACAATTATTTTTTGTGAAGTTAATTGATTCAAAAGTATAAATTCGGGAGAATTTTGAAGTTATATAAGGATCAACTTCCTTGAAAGTGTGGTTTGTGGGGGTAGTTGTTGAGGACAATCTGTTAAACGGCTTTACTACTTTCCTTAAATGCAAAATTTAACATATTCCCTTGAAATATCTTGGCTTATCTCTTGAGGCTAGCCTAAAATTAAAGATGTCCCAAATGTTAGGACAATCTGGTGAACAACTTTGATGGTTTCCTCAAATGCAAAATTCAACATCTTCCCTTGAAGTATCTTGACTTACCTCTTGAGGTTGGCCTAAGATTAAAGTTGACCCAAAGGCTTTAAGGATCGTAGTGGGAAAATAATGAAACTTACGAGAGCAAATTGTAATTTTTCATTTTACGACATGTGGCGCCATGTGGCTATCAACGTGTTATTTTTATTTTTATTTTTTTGTAAATTGGACGGACGTTGGTTGTGAGAGTAAATTGAAAAAATAACAAATGTTAGGGGTTGAAGTGTGAGAAAAAAAAAATATTTTAAGTACTAAAGTGGAGAAATTAAAAAACTTAAGGGAGCAAAAATGTAATTAACCCTTCAACTTTAGGTGTTGAAATGGGTTATCAAACACCAACTATATTGATAGAGATTACAAGTATATGATAGTTTAGGTTAGTCAAACGACCACACACATAAAGTCATTGAGTTATTATCCCAAATAAAAATCAATTTGGATATAGAACCAACAAGGCTACCAACACAAAAATATTATATCACGCAAATATTATTCAACCCAGATTGTTGTTTTTTGACTATTAATTTATTTATTATTTGTGATATTATGTGCATAAAATTTACGTGATTGATATATTGAAATTGAACCAAAAGGCCAACTCACTGTTTCCAAGTTGTATATGTGGGAGAGAGCCCAAAAATTACAGACTTAGATCAAAACAAGGCTTGACAATGGCCGAATCCAAGCAAGGAGGCCCATCAGACGAGTCTGGATCTTCTGCCATACATTCCTGCGGTGGTTCCTGCCGTGCTATACAAAACAACGTCGTTTTGTGTTAAACGTTTTTTTTTTTTATTCAAAAAATAGATTTCCCTTGTTTCCCCCATTTTCTCTTTCTCTGAGTCCTGTTTCCCCCCTTTTCCCCCTTTTCTCTTTCTCTAAGTCGTCCTTCCCCCATTTTCTCTTTCTCTGAGTCGTGTTTCGCCCATTTTCTCTTTCTCTGAGTCGTCCTTCCCCCCTTTTCTCTTTCTCTGAGTCGTCCTTCCCCCATTTTCTCTTTCTCTGTATCGTCTTCTTCGCCTTTGCACCATCTATCTGAGTCAGTGAACCCTAGCAGAGAGATAGAGGCATCGTGAGAGGCGACTGAAAAGGTGGAGTGAGGCACTGACGCGAAAGAGATGGAGGAGCAGCGCGATGGTGAGTCCGGCGGCGATGCGATGGCGGGAAGGCCACATTGCAGCGACATCGAGGTGTATTTCATCATCTTGCTGTTATATATATATAGATTTGTTTCAGATTTACCCATTTCAGTTTGATTCATAGAAAAATGTTATCTTGCTGTTATATATATATGTATATATGTATAGATTTGTTTCAGATTTTAACCTATTTCAGATTGATTCATAGATGGTTGTTATTGATTCACAAATTAAAATCTTAATCTGCTGGGGATTCATAGATATATATGTATATATGTATATATGCATATATGGTTGTTATTGTTTGTTTCAGATTTGTTATGATATATATGTATATATGTATAGATGGTTTATTAACCCATTTCAGATTTTAATATGTTGCCTAAGTTTAATCTGTTAATTCAAATCCAGATTTTAATATTTTTGATTCAGATTAATTCAAATTTGATTCAGATTTTAATTCAAATTGATTCAAATTTGATTCAGATTAACCCATGTTAATTCAAATTTGATTTGAATATATTTGATTCAGATTTTAATCTGTTAATTCAAATTCAGATTTTTGAAATCAATTAATTCAAATTTTTTCAACTGAAATATGTTCAGTCAGTGAAGTAAGTCAGATTTTTTCATATGCAATTTTATGTTCTACATATATAGTTAATCACATTGATCTATTTTCAGATTCATAAATTTAGTTGTGGATTCATATAATTTGCCTCCATTATATGGTTTATATATATGAATTGTAGGTAATATGTGATTTATATATATGAAATGTTTATATATATGAACAACAAAACGCAAACACGTTAAGAGGAAAAACAGGAAAAAAAAAAAAGAAAACAAAAATCAAAAGCTAAAACATACGCAACAAATTCTTGAATAAACACACTGCATTAAGTATAAATGTGGTTTATATATGAATTGTAGGTAATGGTAGAAATAATATTGTTGATGATTGTGGTTGGAAGCCGAAAGTGGGAATGCCATTTGACTCTGAACAAGCCGCATATGACTTTTACAATACGTATGAGGGAAGGTGGACTTTAGTATTAAGAAGGCCTATGCAAATAAGAACAGACAGACGAAGGAGATAACATCACGTACGTTTGTATGTTACAAAGAGGGAAGTTGGGGTATTGACAAACGAGATCCACTTGTCAAAAATCCAAGACAAGAGGTAAGATGTGGTTGTGGTGCCCGATTTAGTATCAAGTTAGATAGAATATCAGGAAAATATATTGCTTGTGATTTGTTGAACATCATAATCATGATCTTGTGCCTCAAGATTGCATTCATATGTTGCCATCTCAAAGAAAAATATCTACCACCCAAGGAATTGAAGTAGAATTAGCTTCACAATCTGGAATTCCTCTTAGGTCTGCTTATGAACTATTTGGTAGGGAATCTGGTGGAAGCATCACTTGGTTCACCAAATTGGACCAAAAAAATTACCTAAGATCGAAGAGACAAAAAGATTTGGAATATGGGGAAGCGGGTAGTGTGTTGCATTACTTTCGTAAGAAAACTGTGGAAAATCCATCTTTTTTTTATGTAGTACAATTAGATTGTGATGAGCAGATAAGTAATATATTTTGGGCTAATGCTCAAATGATCATGGACTATGCTCAGTTTGGTGACGTAGTGACATTTGACACTACTTACAAACTAAATAACGAGCATAGACCTTTTGGATCATTTGTTGGATTTAATCATCATCGAGAAACAGTTATATCGGATGCCGTTGGATGATTGGACTGCGAAATCT